TTCGTGTTGCTTCGACATTTTCGCACCGCAACGATGGAAGCGGCATTCTGGAGCTGGACTCAGGGCACACCAGCGGCACACATCTACGGAGTATACACTTCACAACACAGCTGTCGCACAAGCATTTGTCATAGCAGAGAGCAGCTTCATTCCTTGCAGCAGACAATGTACTTCGACGAGACCATTTACCCCCATCTCCCCCAGCCATTACTGGACCGCATATTGAGAATCAGGGCATTGGTCAACCACGCAGCAGACGATCTCACTGCTGCTTTGGACCACCTCGAGGCCATAGGCCAATTCTCGCCCCGCCAACTAAAAGGCAAGGGCAAGGGCAAATCTACGGACACATCCGACCTCACGGATGACCCAACTACCGGCATCCCCCAGAGTGAACTTATTCACCCATATACCCCCCCACAAACCATGGCGCAGGCTTACACCACACCACCTCCTCTCACCTCCAACACCCCATCACAAGAACAGCCACCGCCAATCACCCCTCAGACAGCAGTGACACCTGATTTCCCACACGCCATCACCACTGCACCATCGCCCCAGCAAACGTACACCTGCGTGCGCTCAGCCAACAGTTGCATTTCACCCCCACGTCCAGTGAACCTCTTTCCAACCAACCCGCCACCACACGCATCCACACAGCAATGTGACCCCACTCAAGTCTACAACATCCGCATCCCACTTCAGGGACATGCCACACTGACAGCCCTCGGACCGATCTCAGCACCACCCTGTTCAGCATCAAACAGTGCACCCACCATCTACTACCTGCCTACTCCGACCAACATCCGGCCAAACCATCGGGAAGCGACTACGGGCCCCGCCGGACCTTGGTGGGATGATGCTGGCGCACCACCGTGAGAGGACGCTAGATCTGCCCTTTGGTTTTTGACTCAATGTATATAGCTCGCCGATATTGCCAGCTACAGAAAAAACATCCACAGTGCATTCATTTCCACTTTTCCACTCTCGGTTTCACTCTTCTCCCATATTTTGATTTCCACAGTTTTTCAATTTTCAATTTTACCCATGCTCAGTCCCGTCGTATTAGCTGTACTCTTGCAGTATTCTCAGGATTGGCCTTCGCCAGATGACTTCACTTGACGACTCCAGCCATTGTGGTTCAACAGTTTCAACGACTCATTGCCTTCAACTTTCTTTCTTTTGCAGTGAATTTCTTGTTCCCAATCATGGATGCGCATCAACAATGGTGGCAACACTACTACGGTACTGCAGCACCCAGTGCCGGCTATGGACCTTTAACGAATGCAGTACGTCATCACTACCAACATCCCTATCACCACCCTCACACAACAAACACGACCGACCATTCTGCAGCTCCCCCAGCACCGACCGCGGCGTTCCCTCCTGAACCCCTTCCCCCACCCCCGGCATCCAACCATCCAGCCCCTCCACCACTCGGCGTTGTACCCCCCAACATCCCCACACTACCAGACACATGGACACCCAGCGACACACACCTCGACACCAATACAGTCCATTGTCAGATTGTTCCGTACCATCCAGCCGACACAATGGTCCAGAAAATACAATCTGGCAGGACAACCTGTCTTGGACATCTTTCCCTGGCAGCTCAGTCGCTTTGGCCTTCAAGACCACAGCCTTCGTACCCTATCCCAAGGACGATACACTGGCGTTGTGACCACCAGGTCTATCGCAGAAGCAGTTTTCACCTCACAACTGTTGCCAGAGATGCGAGCCCACAATCTGGACATCGACAACATTGCTGAATATTTGCACCAACAAGCCAATCAATCCATTCCCAACAAAACAACTGATGCCAAGCAATTCATGCAACCACTCATTTCCCGTTTGATTGACTTCGTAGGAGGCCTCACACCGCCCGCAGGTGAAGGTACAGCACTCCGAAAACTTCAGCGACAGACTGATCGCCTACACCAGCAAGAGAGCGAACTCCAGCGCGCTCGCGACAAATTGAAGACTCATGGCATCGCACTTACCCCGACCAAACCCGGAACACACCCCGCCCCATCATCAGCTTCCCAACCCCATCTCCCACTTACAGCCCCAGCAGCGCTCACAGCCAACACCATTCTTAACCCCACAGCTCAAACCTTACACGACAACTCACCAGCCAACTATGCGGCAGCAGGCATTCAGAAATGGCTCAAGACACTACCACCAGCCACACAGACACAAGTCACCAATATCCAGCAAATTCTTCGAGACGAACGTATCACAAAAGAACAGCTCCAGGAAGCAGCCACACGCTATGGCATCCCGCTCAGCCGGGTACTTAAGCTACCACCCCGTTCACTACAGCAGCTGGTGGCCGCAGGCTCGGCATTGGCGGCCTGACTCGCTCAACAAGGGCTGCATCAGCCAACGCATCTCACTTTACAATCCTTGACCACACTTCACACAGCACTCTCACACTTTGTCCACTTCACACCCTACATTGACAAGACCCACGCGATCTTCTCGACCAGTCTTATTCACCTCACATGCCTCTTTGCGTTTCCATCTCAATTCACTTGTTTAGCTCTTTGTAGATCTGAAAATCCAGTTTATCCTCATGGACACATAGACTGGGTCCATATTTGAACGCCGAGGCTCCTTGAAGGAGATCTCTAGAGGCGGAAGCTGGTGACCAGCTCTTGCAAAGTGGCTGATTGGAAAGATACTATGACAGCACATACGGTAGTTGTAAACTGATTTCAAAAGTGTGGCAATGCTGCCTCTGCTAACATCAATGAACCAAAGAGTCGACTGCAAACCCATTGTCCCTTTTTCTCTCCTATAGCCAGAAGAGCATCTGCGTACAGTAAAAGATATGAAATAAGCAGACGGTTTGATATAAGGCTGTAAGTTTAGGTGTTTTTCAAGCTTGTTGAGCCAGGATTCTTGCTGGCGAGCTTGCTGTTCGGAAGGTCCTAGTCTCAGAAAATGGGACCATCGTTGAGGTTTCTGACTTCAATGGCCAAGAGCCATCAAAAGCCATCAAGGGTCCAGTAGAGGTGTCTTCTCACGCAGCATTTTCAGGTTGTCTGTCCCTGAAGTGGAGCCGGCTCATCAAGAGCCTGTTTCAATCCTGGACGGAGGAACGTTCCGCAGCTGCAATGAGTTGAGCCAACTGGGTTGGGTTTAGACGATTTGACAGCATACGGCGGCGCAAAAGATCCTTAAACTTATGCAGAGTCCAGATTTGCACATGAATCGTGAAGGGGCGGTGATCACACCGGTTTTTAAGTGGTTCCTGTCTTGAATTTATGCACATCACATCATGAAGCCTTGTGCTATGGCTTGAAGTCTATCTAAGGTTTGGTCGCTGGGATTTAGCGACGGCTGAACTTGTTAGACCTCCAAGCGCACACTCTGGAAGTGACAAGTCACTACAGGCAGCTTAACGCAGCTTAAGTTTTTTCTAAGATTCATCCTTATTCCTTCGAGCCATGTTGTTTCTAAACGCACGCGGGTGAGATTATTCCCCAGATAGCGAAGCTATGGGGTTCTTACTTCAAAAAACAATGAGTTGCCCGTGCGCGCTTTCGAGACAGGTTGCTGGTGCTGGTGCTGGGTGCCGGTGCTGGTGCTGGTGCTGTGAGCTGGCTGTGCACGTGGTGGAGACAGGTTGCTGGTGCCGATGAAGGTGGGTGCCGGGTGCCGGTGCTGGTGCTGTGAGCTGGCTGTGCACGTGGTGGAGACACGCTGGTGCTGGTGCCGGGTGCCGGTGCTGGTGCTGGGTGTCGGTGCTGGTGCTGGCGCTGGGAGTGCTGGTGCCTGGTGCTGGTGCTGGGCGCCGGGTGCAGGTGCTGGCGCTGGTGGTTGCTGGTGCGGGCGCCGGTGCTGGCGGTGCTGGTGCTGGGTGCCGGGTGCCGGCGCTGGTGCTGGTGCTGTGAGCTGGCTGTGCACGTGGTGGAGACAGGTTGCTGGTGCCGGTGCTGGTGCTGGGTGCTGGGTGCCGGTGCTGGTGCTGGTGCTGTGAGCTGGCTGTGCACGTGGTGGAGACAGGTTGCCGGGCGCCGGTGCTGGCCGGGTGCCTGTGCCGGTGATGGTGCTGTGAGCGGGCGCGCGTGGTGGAGACAGGTTGCTGGTGCCGGTGCTGGTGCTGGGTGCCGGTACTGGTGCTGTCAAGGGCTGTACTGTTTGCGCGCATACTTTTGTACGTACACTGTTCTATGCGCAACGTCAGGCTCTCAACCGACCATTGTTTCAGCATGTTTCAGCCTGCTACACACAAAATAGTCGTGCTGGATACTGCTTGGCCTTGGGCGAGTGAAGCCTACGAACTTTGCCGTTTGCGCGCACTCTTTTGCGCGCATAAACTTATACGCGCAAGATCATACGGCCCTATTGTTCTACAGATGTTTGCTTCAAGCGTGCTACAAAGGCAATAGTGGCGCTGGATACAGCTTGGCCTTGGGCCAATGACACTTACAGGCTTCGCTGTTTGCGCAAACTTTTGTGCGCGTAAACTTATACGCGCAAGAGCACACTAGGGATAGCTATGGGGTTCTTACTGCAAACTTAATAAGAATGAGCTGGCTGCGCGCGCTTTCGAAGGGGTGTCAGTGCTGGTGCTGGTGTTGTGGTCCTGGGTGCTGGTGGCTGAGCGCGCGTATAAGACGGGCGGCGGTGCTGGTCGGGTGCTGGTGCCGCCCCCGTGTCAGCTGGCAAAGCGCAACGGTGCTGGTGTCAGCTGGTTGCGCGCACTGTAGAGGCGCCGTAAGCTGGCTGTGCGTGCAGGCTGTGTACATTCTTGTTCCGGCCAGTCGCATGTCAACAGGTCGTGGGATGCTGCCTAGCTATCTGGGTCTATGCTGGTTTAATTTGTTTTTTGTGCATGAATGTTGCTGCATGGGCGCGAAGGTGGGCACATCTAAGTTGGAGTCCATTTTCGCTGAGTGTGGTGAAGCGCAGCAATCGTGGCTCTTTCAGCAGCAGTTTGCCATCATGGGCTGCCGCTGCTGCCGCTACTAGGCGAGGAGCGACGAGCCTTCATGGAACCCTGGCCCCTGGCGAGAATCCTCCTGCCTGGCAGGCGGGGCACACCATTTTGGCAATCCTAACCCAGGCTTGGAGTAGCTTTCCCAGGGGTTGATTGAAAAACGTCGGGAGTAGAGTTGCGAAGACGGAGGCGAGGAAGAATGAGCAGAAGAGGGCAAAAAATTGTACGCCATGGCACCGTCAAATGGAGAGGGAGGAAAGAAGAAGAGGAAGAAGAGGAAGAAGAAGAGGAAGAAGAAGAGGAAGAAGAAGAGGAAGAAGAAGAAGAGGAAGAAGGAGAGGAAGAAGAAGAGGAAGGGAACCAGAATATGTGAGCAGAGTTGTCAGAGGTGCTGATTGTCATGGAGGGTGCGGTTCACGAGGTTTTGATTGTTCTTGTTGACCCGGGCAGTTCAACATGAATTGTGTTGATTTTTTGTCGCATCACAATTGCGTTGGTCATAGATAGAACACCATCAGATTTGCCCTCGGCTGATGGTTTGGGCACCGTTTGAACTACTTTATATACTGTTCTAGTTTCAGTTCGTAGCAGTGGTGAGTTTGGGTCGAAAGGGTCACAAAAGACAAGATGAAAACAACTGATTGCAACGAACCGATATCTTTGAGCGAGAAAGGCCAACGTAAATGTCAACTTTGCAATCAGCAGTTATGGCGCCAAGAAAGTCCATACCTGCAAAAAGCATGAACAAGTTGTTTCTATTTTTCATTGCTTTGATCCGCGTGCCAGGCTGCCCGGAGCAGCAATGCTTGCCCCAATTGCAATCGTGTGATTGAGAAGATTGGCGGGTGTGATGTCATGATGGGTGGGGCTGATGCCCATTCTGCAGGGCCTTCTAGTCGGGAGGGTTGCGGGCGTGAATTCAATTGGTCACCGGCTCGTCCTTACCAACCCAGCCTGCGTGAAACAAAAAGACCTCCAGGATTCTCGGCGATTGTTTCGTGGCTCGAAAGCACAGATGACTTCTCATCCCAAGAAGCAGTCCGTGCTGCCTGGGAAGCTTTAGAAGGTTTGAGCCAAGAAGACCGACGTTATGCTTTTGCCAATGCTGTAGCCTGCATGTTCTTGAAGGGTCAGCAGCAGCCGATCTTGGCGCAATCCTTGGTGTCCAATCGAAATCTGCAAACAGCCCTGGGCTTTGATGGCCATCCAGGTTTTGCTAGAGTAGCTTCGGTGCTATGCGATGCCTCCCAAGTGGACACCTCAACGAGTCTGGCAGCAAGTCTGCTGTTGGGTCGTGGCTGGGAGAGCGTGGGCAGTTCTCAAGAAACGCTCAAAAACACCGTGGCGAACCTTTTGGTGGCCATTCTGGGAGGCCCTGGCAATACCGCGTTTCCTATGTTTTTTCCAAAATTGTTTAATTAAGATTCTGATTTTATGAGAAGCGCAAGAAGAACCTTGGAGGTCCTGACAACAACCACTCGAGCATGCTCTTGCTGGAGCCCTTGGCCATGTTGAACACCTTCCCTGTGGGCTTTGTCTTTGGAGCTATGCCTGGCCCCGAGGGTTACCATTTCGATTGCGGTTGCGCCTTAGATGCTCAAGGGCGGGCTTTTGGAAACCGACCGCCGCTAGAGAGCTCACATCTTCATTTTGTCACTTGGCCGAAGTGGGAAACCGGGAAACCATATAGAGGAAATGAGTTGAGCTACATATTGTTGTAGAGAAGCATAGATGATGGGAGATAGAATTCTTTTTTGACTTCAACTCATGGCCCTGAGCATGTAAATGAAGTATCGCAGTCCTTCTTTTGGGTTGATAGGTGCTAGGGCTCATTGTAGCAGTAGTAGGTCGAGAGGGTTCGCAGTATGGACAGGTGAACTTCTGCAGTTGGGCAGCCCTTGCCATGGGGCTTTTGATCTTTCCGGAGAACTGCCGGCGAATCGAAGAGATTTTGACTTTCAGGCAGGGTAGGGGAAGGAAATGTCGCAAATCGGAGTTAATGACTTGGAAAGGCCCAAGATGTCCCAAGACGTCCAGACCAAATAACTTGAATTCAAACATCACAGGATTTTAAAGATGATTGAAATGGTCACTGCCTGCAGACTTACACAAGCTTTCTGAGGCACATCAAGCTTTCTGAGGCACATCAATGAAGTTCAACGCTGTGGGTCGGATGTGGCCGAGTTTGCTTGCAGCTATGCCATGAACTTCGCCCTTCGCTGCTTCGGGTGCGTGAGTGGCTGCCAGCAGCTCTCTGAGGAAGACCGAGCCCTCTGTTTCTTGGATCTCTTCCACCAGTTTCGCACTTTGGCTTCAATGAGAGTGAAAAGAACACAATTATCTTGCGCCTGATCATGAAAAATGCTTAAGAAAAAGTTGCCAAGGCTTTGCTTGGATTCTGTGCTTTCCATTCTCCATTTGAGGCGCGAGTGCAGTCCAACCGCACCCCGTGCTGGCACGAACTTTCCATTCCGCAAATGCGCGGCAGAACTATGAGGACAGGTGTTTTTTGAGAAGTCTCTTGAATGATCGGAGCTGAGATGACAAGATGCGTTTCTATTCAACTTCGTGTGAGTGACTGGGAGGAGCTATGGAAGGGCCTCGACCAAGTGGTGGGCAATCTACCACAACTTCGGGAGGAAGCCTTGCAGGTTTCTCAGGCCACTGGGCTCTGCATTTTTTTGAAAACGACGTCAAAAGCCTTAGCACTGATGCCTTTTGAAGAGAAGAACAAGAACAATTTGGACTAAGATACTGACAAGGGCACTTATTGTGTTTTAAAGAAATGATGGCCGTATTGTTGGTTGTTCGTTGGGTTTTGCAGAGCTTGTGTGGCTGATAGATCATGGTTAGACTAAAGACACATCACATCAGTGATAGTTCAGAGGTTGCTGTGTTGAATTCATTCATTCGTAGTGTCCGCGCAGCTGCTGCGCTACGCGAGATTGTCTCGACGCTCTTGACTTCGGAGGCTGTTGCGCTGCCGATGCCGCAGCCTCGGGCTCGATGTCGCGACCCACTTCTTAGAAAGTCTTTCATCAGGTTGCATTAGTTGTAGTTCGGCGCATTTCAAATAGAATCTGCGCTACCAACAAGTTTGGTGGCGAAAGTGTAAAAACAAGCTTTCGTGTGAGGATAGGTGGTGCATTTTGCACCAAGTGTAAATGTGGATAAATGTATTATGGGTCCAAGTCGCTTAAGTTGGTTTTGGAGAAGAAACTATATAGTTTGCCAGCAATTAGCCACAAGCCTTGCCAGAAGGAGTTTCGCTGTGAAGAGAAGAACTAGACGACGGTTGGCCCGAGAGCGAGACATGTAATTGTCCAGCACTGTCGAAAAGATGTATAGAAAGAGAGAGAAAGAGAGGGTGGATGCGAAGGAGTGACAGTGTGATGCGCAGGTGCGATATAGATCTGTAGATGTATGGAGATGGAGAGGTAGATCTGTGGATGTGAGCGTGCGAAGATGTAAATGCACAGAGACGAGAGAAAAGATATGTAGAAAGAAAGACAGGACAGATGTGAAGGAGCGACAGTGTGGATGTACAGATGTGATATAGATGTGCAGATGTGTGGGTGTGGTGAGGTGGAGAGGTAGATCTGCGGATGTGAGCGTGTGAAGATGTAAATGCAGAGAGGTGAGAGGGTGTAGATGTAGATGCGTCGATGCAACGGCAGTGCAACGTCAACCTTAGTTGTGCAAGTACAACGCTGAAGAGGTTCAAATAGAACTGAAGAACGTACATTTCACACTGAAGCTTCCACGAACAGGGCGACCTGAGAGTAAACGACGTCACGATCATGACAAGCGACTCGTGTATTCCAAGCAAGCATCGTTTGTCACTTAACTACACACATACTAACGTCGCCGTCGCAATGACTCTATTGTGGCAGCCACTTACGAGTAAGCAAAGTAGCTAAAATTTGTCAACCTCTCAAGAGAGCCGGGTGGTCGGGAGACATGACTCAGCTGCAGGGGCGCCAGAGCAGCCGCGAGAGATGACTCAGCCGCGAGAGATGACCATCCGCGTAAAAAATTGTACTACAACTTCGCCAGTTCTCAGCTTCCAGCTCCCCAGATACTCCGCGTACTAAAGTTGTACTACAAAGTCGCCAGTTCTCAGCTTCCAGCTCCACAGAT